CTTTGGCCCGACACAGAGTACTAGTACGGGGACAACACTGATTGCCATATTACTCGCGGCGTGTTGCTTCGTGCTGCGGTCGTTACCTCCGGCGCCGCTCGAGCAAAAAGCTTTCTAAATCCCCTCGCGGCGTGTTGCTTTCGCGCGGTTGTTACCTCCGGTCCCGAGCGAAAATTTTCTAAGTCGACCTAATACATCCCCAGTACTGAGCCGACTTTCGACCGTAGATCAATATCATTTCTGGCCTTATACACGGTATCAATACTGAGACGAGACTCGCCTCGAAACAAAATATGGTTGAGAAACGATGCTCCCCGCATCGACTTCGACGCCCCTTTCGTGTACGTATTCCACAAACGTTTTACACATTCTTACGGACCAAGCAAAACGCGTTTGAACGTCTGTACGTATCGCTCGTGTCGCTCGGCTTGCCGAGCGCACCGAACCTCTTATAGTACCCAACCGGCCGGCCGAGCGATCGGCGACGCACGGTCTTACGCACGGTCGCTTACGGGCGCCGGAGGCGAGACGCGAAGCGAGACGAATGACACTATAATTGGGGGTACTTGTAACCGAGAGGCACGAACGCGGTCGTTACCTCCGGCGTGGGCTCTAGCGAAAAGTCCCCTCGCGGCGTGTTGCTTCCGCGCCGCGGTCGTTACCTCCGGCGATGCTCGAGCAAAAAGCTTTTTAAGTTTCCTTGCGGCGTGTTGCTTTCGCGCGGTTATGTTACTTTCGGTCCCGAGCGAAAATTTTCTAAGTCGACCCAATACATCCCCAGTACTGAGCCGACTTTCGGCCGTAGATCAATATCATTTCCGGCCTTATACACGGTCAGTACTGAGACGAGACTCGCCTCAGAACAGAATATGGTTGCATGGGATTACTGGTCACCGAGACTGGCACAATACTGATCTAGCGGTTTATCAGTACTGGGGCAGTACCACCCATCAAGTCTTGGCAGCCAATATTGTACCACTTCTGGGCCATGCGGACAAATCTGGCAGAAGTCCGACATTCGCACATGGGTACCTTTTCCACTTACCTTGTGTCCATTTCCCTCCCCAAACCCCCTATCCCCCCTCGCGTTGTCCAGCGTTGATCCACGATAACGATGACGATGACGATGACGATGATCCCTTCGAGAAACGAGGCCTGACTTGAAACATAGAAACAAAGTTACGATTAACTAAGCGTACGTACCTACCTACCTACCTCCTCTCCATACTTACCTTGCGTCCTATCCACTCCCACCTTTTACTCCCTCGACGGTGTGCCACCTTGGCGCGGTGAGGGAGCCACCCTGCGTACGTTCTCTCTTCGTACATCTCATCCGCCGAGGCGGTATCGGTGGTCCAACCACCGAGAGGGCCTAACTGATGATGATCGACGACTGAGAGAACCTGCGCAGGGTCCAAGAGCACACCACCACTACCACCACCTCTACCCCCAACGAGAGGTTGTCCGGGCCGCTCGGAACTGATCCGAGGTCTGGGTCGGGCAACCCCTTGTGAAGGGCGAGAGGGAGGGAGGGAGGACCCGTCGGGCTGCCAGGACGTTTCCTGGTTAAGGCCGGCGGGGGGGGGCTCATCGGACAGAGACCGCATCCACTGATGGAGCGCCTGTGCCCTGCCCTCTTGCGGGCGGCGGCGGGGGACTGGGATCGAGCGCTGCTCGACCGGATCTTCCTTTAGGAACGACCCGGAATCGAGCGCTGCTCGGCCGGATATCCCCCGTGCAGCTTTGCGCGCGGGAGGGGTACGGTGGGACGCCTCTGTCTATCCTAAACTGTCCGCGATGAATCGAACGAAGGCGGGGGTCGCCGGTGCCGGAGGTTACCTTGGCCGGCGACCCGAGAGACTCCTAAGCCGGCCCCCTAGCGGGAGGGAGCGTTGGAGGGGTTGCGGCCTACTTCCCTCCCGAACGTCAGGGGAGTCTCCGTGTCCCGCGCGCGTGGCGGCGCCCTCCGCGGTGCCCCTGTTGTCGGAGGCAGGGGACCCCCGAAAACCCGCGGTGCGGTGGCTCCTCGATGGGCCTCGCCCGCGGATGTGTAAGGGGCATACCAAGGAGCCCGACCCAGATGAACCATTCCTGGGACAATGGCATAGCCGACCCTCCCGGGGGAACTCGGGACCCGGCTCGCGCGGGACTCCTCGTCGTAGTGAACGATGAGTGGGTCGCGCGCGCAACCGATGAGGGCACGCCCGGGTCGGCGAGCCGCGGAGGGTCCAGGGACACCGTTATTTTCATGAACCCTAACTTTAGTCGCCAGGACTATAAACTGACCTCACCACCACCACCACCACCACCGACGCCGCCGCCGCCGCCACCGCCGCTGCCACCACCGCCGACGACGTCACCACTAACAACACCACCGACACCGCGTCAATTACCGCGAATTATCTAGCAAGAGACAGTCGTCCCGGCTGGTCCGCGACAACCACCGTTTACATGGACTTTAAAACGAGCAAGAAGAGCTACGAGCTACGAGAAGAACAGCGGCAACAAATGTACCGCCACCGACGACGACGACGCCGTCGCCACCAGCGACGACGACGACGACGACGCCGCCACCACCGACGACGCCGCCAACACCGACGCCGACGCCGCTTCCACCACCAACGCCGCCGCCGCCGCCTCCACCACCAACGCCGTCGCCGCCTCCAACACCGACGACGACGCCACCACCACCGACGACGACGCTGCCGCCTCCTCCAACACCAACGCCGTCGCCGCCTCCAACACCGACGCCGATGCCACCACCACCGACGACGACGCCGCCGTCTCCTCCAACACCGACGCCGACGCCGCCACCACCGACGACGACGCCGTCGCCATCCCCCACGCCGCCGCCACCAACACCGACGCCGACGCCGTCCACCAGCGGAGGGAGGAGCAACGCCAGGAAGAGCAGCAGCAAGAGCAGCAGCAGCAGCAGCAGCAGCAGCGCCAGGAGGAGCAGCAGCAGCAGCAGCGCCAGCAGCGCCTCTACGTACCTACCCACCGACGAACTACGAATCTTCAATCCCATTTCCGTCGAACTCGACTTGAGAGACATGAGCGGCGTCTTGATCGAGTCGGACGTGGACTCCATTTTGGTCGCGGCGACCACGTTGGAGCCATTCGTATGTAAAACGGTGATGACGGTCGAAACAAGACCACCGGCGATTCATCGTTGCGCCAACGTCAAGTTAACTACGTACCTCAACAATAGAGAGAAATTCCAACTGCTCCGTCCGGCGACGTTCGTCGCTCGACCGGACGAAGCGAGCGCGAAACGAATATGGTACGAGTGCAAACTCACGACCGTCGACCAACGATTGTTGTACATGTTGTTCCAAACGGAGGGCGATTCGACGGCGACGCAAGCGGAGATAGAGGCTACGGCAGCGGTGTCCGACAGCGACTCGGAACAACCAGCTTTCCGACGTTCGTCCGGTCGCGAGAGGGACAGACCCCTTTGTCGAGCCACGTCGTCGTTCATTCGCGACGTAATCATAGCGGCGGCAAAGAATCTACCGACGAGCACGGTGACCGCGCGAACCGGAATAACCGCAACGGAATACGAGGTCGCGCGAAAATTCAACGTCGCTCAGCAGGACTTCGGTCGATACGCGCGCCTCGTTACGCAACAACTGTCGAATCTCGACTTATTGAACACGCACGGCATCCACGTCGTGCGATTCTATCAATGCATGCACGGCCTCAGACTGCCGTGCGAACACGCGGCTTGAGTCCTGCGCGACGTCGCTTACGTGGATCATCCGCACATGGACGTCGTCCAATTGCACAGAGCGAACACTCTGACGGACGATGAGGGCAGACCGTACGTCGTGCGTCTCAACGGGACGAGAGCCGAGGCGACCGACAGGACGTTACCGACGCGATTGTGAAGCCTCTTCGACAACGCCATTATTCTCGGCGACGGCGCAATCAGGAGATACCGCGTAGGATTTATGAGCCAGTACGGTAACTTTACGTGCCACGCGTCCCCCACGTGGTCCAAGCACCTCGTCACTTATTGCCAGGTATACAATTCGGCGGCCAAGATGGCTCTGCCTGTAAATTTCGGCTCTTTGGCGACGTATCTGATCTGTCAAGGATACGAGGGCGACCGCAAATTACTGGGCACGCGACTGAACATTAAGCAACATCTGCGCGACGTCGACTTTTTCTTCGACGAATACGTTCGGCACGGATACGCGACGCGATTCGAAGAGGTCTTCACCTTCGACGCGAGGAGGCACGACGTCGTCCGAAAAATTAACGGGTCAGGAGTGTTCGACGAAAACCGCAAAACCAGATTGGTGACAAAAATAGTGGGACACCAATTGCTGTACCGAATCAACGAATGGGACAAGTACATCGATGCCAATGTTTAACGAGACGTAAGGTTGCTGTGAGGAGCGAACGAACTCTACCGCCGACAATTACGCGAACACCTCACGATGCCGCACAATTTCGTTACGACGGCCGTAGAGGCGTATCTGCGAGTTATGTACTTTGTACACGGCTTCAACCGAAATTACAACTACACCGTTTGTCGCAACGTCTTTGTCGGAGGCAGCGAAATGCGGGCCATTTGCAACGAATTCGTAGAGCTGCGAAACCCGCTGTATCACAACGTAGCTCCCGACACGTACCAGCGACACTTCGCCATATACGCCAAGGACGTACCGGCGGCTCTCGCGCACGCCGTCCGACACGTGTGGGAAGTGCATCGTCTCATGGAGACAGACGATCCCGTCTACTTTTTAACGGTTGTCCACGCCTCGTGGGCGCACCGTTGTATCGAGAATCATCAAGGTGCGATAGACGATACACTTGTGCCAATTATGCGAAACGCGCGTCGCGGAATATCACCGTTCAGCCTGGAGGCCTTTTTCGAATTGTACAAACGTCTCCCGACGGGACACAACCTTAGAGTAATCGGGACCGTACAGGCCGACCGCGTGGCAAACGCCATCGTGCTCGATCCGACCGCTCCCATCGCCAGAATCGCACGAATGGCGATCAACATACCGGAGGAGAACGTCGCTGACACCGTGGCGACGTTCAGACGCTATGTATTCGATAATTTTTATTTTGTTCCCGAATACCTTTGGAATACACGATGCCGTCACTTTGCGGTATGGAACGTGGTAAAAATTGGAGATTACCGTTATTTCCCCGATGATGGAAGAGAGCTGAATGTTCGCGCGGTAAATACCAGAATAAGACGTATACAAAGACAGGTCGATAGACGTGCGCGTGACAACGACGTTCGTCAAGCTGAAGCTACCGCTCATGTTGACGATGCTGCTGCTGCTGCTGCTGCTGCTGCTGCTGATGATGGAGCAGCCCCAGTAAAAAGACCCAGAGGCCGACCGCGCAAGTTGCAATTGCCGTCACCACCTGATGCTGCTGCTGCTGCTGCTGCTGATGGAGCAGCCCCAGTGAAAAGACCCA